AAGAAGCTGTTGAGCAACTCTGCTGTATAAAAAATAAAGATAAAATAAAAAATAACTCAGTTTATGTTGCAAAATCAGCTATCGGGAAACATTACTCTAATACTGGATATGTAATTACAGATAATAGCTTTGAAATTGTGTTACGAGAAAAGCAAAGATATAAATTGCTGGTTGAGGCATCGTTAGTTATTTGGGCCAGTTTACCCATGTATTTTGTTCAAGGGTTGTGGTTATTCGAAGTTTAGGTAGATGAGGGTTTAGGTTCTCACCTACTACTTATTCATTATAATAGAATGAAGTTTATTTTTATACCTTATGGGGCCATTATATCATTCAATCTATATATCTAATCCAATATATATAATATATATAAACTACTCTCCTTCTCAAATTATATGAGCTCTGGTGGTTGTGGTTTTAATAACGTTTCATAGGAGTGAGATAGAAACTTGTGACTTTGACCAGTCGAAAGATTGCGTCTCAGAGCTTCCAATAGGATTATATTGATGTTTTTATATGAATTGATATCCTAGCGTTTCCCCTTCAAAATCAGAGGCAAACAAAGTTTGATTTCAGTGGTTCGGGTATGGTGTCGAATTTCCTTGAAGTCCCCCGACTACTGATAATCTTGAAAACGGGTTGACGAAAGGTAATCAATCATGCTAAGTCTCATGGCAATATTTGTTTTTAGAAAAGCTTTTTTTGTTTCGAAATTTAGGAACGCCTGTTCAGTACTGACTCAGAAAACACTACAACAGTTCAAATATTCAGAATGTACCGTATTTCGATTATTTTATGTTCGATTTATAAGAAATCTAAAAAAAGGATTTAAGAAAATGTTGTTTTTCCATAACGGTTCCTAGAAATCCTCTGAGAAAAAGACATACCTGTTCAACTTTTTTTTCCATCTTATGATCATGCGTGGCGGCTAAAATTAACCATATCCGGAAGTTTTGAACTCATTCTAGTGTTTTTTGAGTAATGTACAAGATAATTTTAACGATTTTTTTTCTCAAATGAAACGTATTTTTTGCTGAAACGGCAGCTTTTTGGTACCTTCGAAAAATTAGCAACGTCAGGTAGACGAGTACTCTTTAGCATTTACAGGGTGGGACAGAAATTCTGAAGCTTTTTTCTATTAAGATTTTATCCATATTGACTTGCGTTTAAAAGTTTATTATTGAACTGAAAAGCTAGGGAATTTTAGTCTCTAGATAACTGCCGCGCTTGTTTTGAAATTATTTTCGAAATTTTAGCAGAATATGCTAATTTTGTATACGGCGGCACAGAATAAACTTCACTTTTTTTGTTGATCTTCTAATGCAACTTTCAGATAATTACTTTAACGCAGAATTAAGAGGCAGAATTTTACATTGTATAATCTGACACTATTTGTGGTAGATGCTTATTCTTTTTTGTGAGAACGACAGCACTAAAGTGACTGATTTACGTACAAAACCCAGATTATCGATATTTTGCTCTCAAACTCTAAATTTAAAGCCATGCCCTTTAGATGCAGAATTTCTCACTTGACCCGATCACATACACTAGAAAATGAAAATTATAAATTTAGTTTTAAACGTATAAAGAAATATTAGATGCTACTATAGATGAAATCCTCCTCGACTCCTTACACATTTTTAACTAGTCCTTTCGAGAACTAGTTTGACTTGGAAGAATTTTGCTTTTCCACATGAAGTATAGGACATTGTATAGAATTTCGCGCTGAATTTAATGGTGTATTGTGTTTTTATAAATAGATCATTTTTACTAAAGTACGCTAAGAAGAATCCCCATTAGATAAGTGATCAGTTTTCATAACGTATGATTTTAGTAGTTTTATTTCTTCACGGACGATTCAAAATTACTTTCAAAACAAAATCGGCAGTTTTCTAGAAAGTTGAATTCTCTATATTTTTAGGTAAATATTAAAGTTTTAAACGCAGGTCAAGAAATTTAATGAGAAAAATGCTTCGAAATTTCTATTCGACCCTATATATTCTCGCTTTTTCTGTATAGTTTTTCTTCCAGCAAAAGAATACGCTAAGTTTTACCTGAAGTTTTTATAATATATTCTCAACAAACAAGATTCTGTTTCCTTCTGGTGTCACATGCGCGTCAACTTTGAAAATAAATCGAGAAAAAAAAATTGCTATTAATTGTGCAACTTGTCGTTTGTAGTTATAGCAAGGCAAGACGCAGATATTACGGCTATACTCTTTTTTTCTGTTTTTGATTTCTGCATTGCTTTACTTCATCCAGTAACCACGGTTTACTATAGAAAGATTACCATTACTCTCATCAATGACCGACCCTTTCCAACTTCACCATGGTAACGTTATATTCGAATCATATCACGATTACAATTGTAATTCCATATAAATATCAGCTGTAACTAAATGTCTATGTTCGTTTTGTGCATATTTAAAACCATAATGTTTATATAAATGTATAGCTGCTTTCAGCAGACTATTTGAACATAAAGAGATCTTTTTTATTTCAGGATATTGTTCACGTATTTGTTTTAAACATTGTTCTATTAAACGTCGAGCAACACCTTGTTGTTGATATCCTGGTTTGACACACATTTTAATTAATTCGCATTTCGTAGAATCATGTTTAAGTATTCCAATAGTACCAATAATTTGCTTTGTTTGAGTATCTTGTGCTAAATAAATATAACCACCATTGTTTAATACTGTTTTTTGTGGATCAGATAAAATAAGAACATCATAATCTTCAAGTAGATCATATTTATTTAACCATTCATAATTTAATTGTTGAAACTCTTCTTTATATTCATCTTGATATGGAATGATTTCAATGGACATTTTCTCTTTAGAATACTGAAAAGCTTCAAAGTTAAAAAGAAGAAAATAATACAAACTACTATAAACATATGGAATATTTCACATCCATGTTCTCAAATAACGTGTAGAATATAGCGCAAGGTTTACATGTTTTAAAAGGTAATATCATGTTCGAAACATTCGATATTGAAATCAAGGCCACATTTTTGCTTCACATCAGGCAGTTTTCAGTAATTTACGTCACTTACTTTGACAACAAGGTTAAAGCGCAAGAGATAAGCACAGTCAATTGATTTGCTGAACAACACTGTTTCTCAAATCTGTAAATCATTATGATCCCCGTACAACGAAAAATAGCGCTTGCTCTTTGATTGTACAACTCATAAATGAAGATGTACCCAGTACTCTTTAAAAAGAATGGTTCTCTATGAAACCTTTTTCTGCTCGAGGTCTCGAATTTGTTTCAAATGTCGAGACCTTTTGATCTACGAAATTTAGAATGGTTGTTGCACAAAAACCTACAAAACCCCAAATTGTTCTATAATGACCTATGAAACGTTAAATAGTGTCGTCAATTGATGCGAAACTTTAACATGGTTTTGTACAAAACGGTAAAAAGATTTGGTTTTTGTCAAACCATTTTAGTTTTCGTAGACCAAAAGATTCCAACATTTAAAACGAATTCGAAACCCCAAGTAGAAAGTAAATCTGCAAAGAGAAAAGCAGATTACAGATTATAAATCTGCAGGGAGAGTTAGCAGATACAGTCTTTTTTTAGATTATACGAGTGTCTACATTGCATGATTTTTCTTCTGTCTAAAAATCTCTTATATTTCGACTAATCAAATTTGTCGAATCAGAAAAACATGGTGCTATTATTTCACTCAACTATATTAATGTTCGATTAGTTGAAATATTGGGTATCATTAACTCTCGATCATTAACATTGTTGGATGGAATAATAGCATCATGCTTTTCTGATTCAACAAATTTGATTACTCGAAATATAAGAGATTTTTCGACAGAAGAAAAATCATGCAATGTAGACATTCGTATATAATCTAAAAAAAGGATTTTTGGTAACTAGCGTTTAATTGACAATTCTCAGTTCATATGGAAACCAGACTAATTTGAAAATTTCATTGAAAAATAGATTCCTAAATAAAAACCAAACATTAACATTAGATTCAGCATGATGGATTACTTATAGTTCATGTATTTCTAAGATTGCTATGGCGCAGAGAACTAGAAAAGCATGGTCCCAGCAAAATCTATGCCATTCCTAAACTATTGTATACAGCGCTTCCAAATGTCTGGACGAAATTGCCCAGCAGAAAAACATAGATGTCGATCGAGAAAAGTGAGGAGCGACGATCTAATCTTTTAAAAATCCATCAGATACACCATCTGAGAAAATTTTAGTTTTTGATTTCTATATGTTAAATAATAACATAAAGTCTTTTCTACAAATGGTGGAAAGCGCATTACTTAAGCACTTTTCTTTGTTGAGATATTAAAAAAACAGTCACGTGCCAACTTTTTTTTCACAGACAGCAGTTGTTCAATTTATTTCAGTAATTTAATGAGTAAGGTAAGATCAGCATGAAAAACTGAAGCAGAATATGTGCCTCTTACTAAAAAAGCGAATCCACTCAACTTTTGAATTAGCGGCACCTTAGGAACAGTACCTTATTCTGACACATACCGACGACTTCATTTAGATTCCTTTACCGTCCTTTCTGGGCGATCATCAATCTTACTAGCATCAATAATTGTTAAGTTAGATGAAACTATTAATTATATACATTTATATACAAACGACAATTCACTTCCTTTATCTTGCACTGATAATTAGATCTTGTCACTGTCACAGGTCTAATCGACAGATATCTACGAGGTTCGAAAGCTGAACCTCCGATAATTAAATTTAAAGCTTTATTTGGATTAAATAGATTTTTTTTCTTATGTATAATTTGTACTATCATATACTTGCTACGTGCAGGTATGTCGAATTGGTAATTACCTCAAATGGGGTAATTATGGTCAACAGAAAGGTGCTCTCTGGAAATTGATTAATACTACCTAACGCAAATTTTAAGAAAATTTTTACATTAGTTGATAGCCAGGAGTCGCCTCTATTTACCGGTAAAATATCGCTTTTCACGAATAAAAATTGAGCGAACTATAGCAGAAATACGATGAAATTTTGTGGACCTGACCATAACTGCCCCAAGGCACTCTACTAGCTATTGTAATCGCCTTAACCGCAATCATTGTAACGAAACATATTTGTTTCCTCTTCAGAACAAGTAACAGAAGGAAAGAACTGAAGAAATAAAAACATCAGCAGATTGGGTTATAACGGGCAGACTAAGAGCAGGAAAAGAGCAAGCATTCATTAAAAGAATTTTTTTGGAGTAAACGTCTTTTGATCCCCAAATCAATTAAAGATATTTAATAATAATTATTTAATAATTCAATCGTGGTATTGATTTACTAATACAAAAATGGAATGCCACTCCAGCTACGAAGAAATTTTCCGATTACTTCATTGATCAGTGGATAACAAAATTACCCTATTGGTAAGAAAATAGAGTCAATGTGTATGCTTAAGACTAACCCAGTTGCTGTCATTTACGTACGACGGTGCTGCGTTTGGTAAACCGTCCACGAATAATGGTTGCGAATCGATGAATGCCATTATAAAACAAAAATATACACTCCGTAATAAGTTACATTTATCGGCGTTTCTATCAAAAATGGAAAAAATGTTAACAGATTAGTCAGAGGCAAGTATTTCATCACCATCTGCTGCTGTTACAAGTATATCTCCTGATACGGAGCTGCATGCTTACAAATGGTCCGTAAGTATAAATCGATCTGATATTTTGCATTGGTTAATACATTTTATGTTGTTCCATCATCCACGACAACAATAACAACGTCAGTTTGGTTGGATTTGTATCGATCTAGTCAATGAGCATCATTTGACGATTTTGTAGCATGGTAGACATCATGTTGGTTAGTCACCGCTTACATCGTGTACGCGTCCAATTGGCCTCAAGCAGTACATCTGTAAGCATTCAGTTGGATTAGGCATTTTATTCAACATGTACCAAGTGACGGACAAAACACGTTGTGAACCATTGGGTAAGAGAAAAGGTAAAGGTCGTCCGAAAAAGGTTCGTACAGCTTTGTTGCTATAAAGTGAATATTTTTGTTGTATATTTTTTCTTTAATTTAAATTTTCGTTAATTGGTTTGATGATTAGTTTTTTCTACTCTGTTCATATTTCTTGTTGTATAGATATCTACTATTCTTCTTCTATATACTGTTCACTAATTAATTTTCCATTAAATTGCTATATATTCTTCTTGTATATATTTTCTTTAATTTAAATATCTTTAATTGATTTGGGGATCAAAAGTCTTATTTTTGGGGATCGTTTCACTGTTAATAAATTTGGGGATCAAAAGTCACTTTTTTGGGGATCAAAAAAATTGATACCCATTTTTTTCTTCGAACGTCCAACATATTATACTCAAATTGAAAAGTCTTCTATGCTTGTTTCAAAAACTGTCGGTTGTTTCGATCGTGAAATACAATCGAAACGACAGGTCTTAATTATTGTACTATTGATTTCATTGGTATGTTTTGTTTATAAGAGTTCTTGAAGCAGCTGTATTCAGTTGAATATCTAGGGACTAAGTGCACTGTCACTCATCGATTCTCTCGTTGGAACGGCCTTCAAACAAGATAATACTGATACCAGAAGCAAAACGCTAACAGATGGTTTCGCTCGACGTAAGTCATTTTGTCTCCAATCGCTTCCTTAAGATCAACGAGCCGCTAAAGCTTTTGCATCAGCCATATCGTTTTTTTAATTTGATCGTTCAGCTAACTAGTTCGAGACTTTTTCGGACTAATTTAAACTACTATGCTTCTACGTGGGTACGTGTGCTATTTGTTGACTTTTCTGCATTTTTCATTGAACAAATGTGAAGCTAAACACTGAAGACTTTATCCCAGTAGAAATGCTATCATCTTTTTCGCTGAGAAAAGGCAAGGTTGCATCAGGTAGAACTTTCACAGAAGCACTATGTTGGGATGCAGATTCTTTTTCCACTGACAATGGAACGGTTTGTACTGCCAAGACCGCAAAAGGTTATGTGCTGATGGGCCTTCCCTCCAGAGTTACAGCCATTATACTGGAATTTTAGCCTATTGCACGGTATCTATCAAAAACACTGATCACGATATTTCGACCTGAAATTTGCCCACAAGTAGGCCTACTTGTAACTAGAATCTTCTGCAAAATTCAGTTCAAAAGAATGTTCCCTTCTTGAGATATTGAGTTTCCCAAAATTTGACATTCTCCAATCTTTTCGCAGAACATGAGTGATTTTAGAAATTCAATATCTCAAGAAGGGAACATTCTTTTGAACTGAAATTTGCAGAAGATTG